TTGTGCTGCATGCCTTGGTAATGGCGTAGTAATTGTAAGCCAGACCTTTTAATTTGAACCAGTAAAGTACTTAATTGTTTTGTACCAATTTTTAATTTAAAAAAAATGCAAGTCACGCTTTTCTACTTAAAATTGTACTAAAACTCCGTGTTTTTTTTTTGGTTTGGGTGTTCACTACCCACACCAATTGCTTACGGTCTCTCCTGTCCATTTTACGGGCTTGAACACAAAACTGCGATACGACGCGATGCGAATTCGCAACGCAGAAAGTTGCGACACGAATTGCTGCAATGCGATTTCGTGCGGCAAGGCGTCTCCCAGGGTGACCATTCCTTCGACAACCGTCAACCGTACTAAACGTATTTAAAATTGAAAACTGGATCGTGACATGGATCGTAAAAAGAAGTGTGCCCTTTTGTTATTGCTAAGAAGATACAGGAAAAAGAAACAAAGAAGATTTTGGGTTCATCCATTTATTAATGTTATGAATCCCGATGGGAACTATTTCCATCTAAAATATGAAGCTTTGAATCCGACGAAAAAAAATTTTTTCAGTATATTAGAATGAGCATACCTTCATTCGAACAACTTTTAAGTTTGTTGTCACCATATCTTCAGAAACGATCGTACAAGGGGAGAATTCCTGTTATGCCTCTGGAAATGATTGGCCTCACTATCCGGTAAGTAAAGTAAAACATTAATTGTTTACATTAGTTTTTATTGAGAAGAGTTTTCCAGATAGTACAATCAATTAAATTTACGTAAAATCAAAGTCTTCTTCAGTTGAAAGTGTGCTTAATATGCTTGAGGTAGAAAAATCATTACTAGGTGAATCAACTTGATCTGGTATGTAACTCGCAGATGACTGTGGACGTATCAGTGGCGTTTGTTGAGATGTAGCAAAATGTTGAGTTTGATAGCCACCCTTTTTTTTTTACGGGGGGAAATCTTTATGGATACCCCTGAGCACAGGGAGACTCAGGGGTTATGTGGGGACTCTCCCTCGAGACTGGAGAGCCTACCCCACTAAAACCCCCCCGGGTTTCCCTCTCGCCGGTTGAGTCGGCGCCGTGGGATCAGTGAGCATTCACCACCCCTCCTTTTGCGACATAACCTCTGTGCAAAAGGAGGCCACCGCCTCCCAGGACTCCTCGCTATCGAGCATGGCGGCAACCACGCTCGGCAACGAGAGGTCCTGCCCTATAGTCCCCGTCAGAACACGGCGCTGCTCATCCCACCGCCTACACACCTCTAGGGTGTGCTGCGCGGTGTCATCCGCAGCGCCGCACTCGTGCCACGACGGGGACGGTTCCCTCCTCGCCACCTTGTGCAGGTAGTGACCGAAGCAGCCGTGCCGGGTCAGCACCTGCACAAGGTGGTAGTTTGATAGCCACCCTGGCAGTTGCTATTCGGATAGTAGTAGCCGTGAGGTTGATGCAATTCTGTTAAAATTTGAAGAACTCTGCTCTGAAAGATTAGTGTTTTATTGTCATCTAATCTTTCAAGTGATGGTAGAATACCTTTAAAAAAGATATGTGTCTATTCTCCGTTTCCTTTAAAATCTTTACAATATCATCTTCAAAATTATTATTAACCTTCTTTCTTTTTGGTGGTTGCTTTTGGTAACGTGTTTTAGATGAACCTTCTTGATTATCTGGCTCATTTTCTGAGTCATTTATACTGGTAGTAGTCTCATTTTGTAAATTTTTCTTAAGAAATTGTAATTGTTTGTACAGATGGTATTCTTTTATATTTTTTGATCCAGACCCTGACCTACTTGCATCTTTGAGTTTCTTTTCATATTTATTAAAGGTATCCTTAATCCCCCTCCATCTTTGTATTACTGAATTACCTGCAAAAATAATAATTGACAATATTTAATTTATGTACGTTTATATCGCTTTAGGTTAGTGTTCTTTACTTTTCAAGTTTGTTATATTAATTAATCCTTTTTTTTTCTATTTATGTTACAGATTCCTAGCGACCGGAAATGAAATCAGAAATATACATTTAGATTATTATCGAGGAATAAGTACAGTTACTAAAATAATACGATTAGTTTGTAGTGCAATATGGAAATTTTGTTTAAATGAAAACATACCAAAAATAACGCAACAGCTGTTTGAAGAAATTGCTGCGAACTTTGACAAGAAAGCCAACTTCCCTAACTGTATTGGAGCCGTTGATGGGAAACATATTCGTATTCGTAGTCCCTCAAACAGTGGATCACTTTTTTTAATTACAAGGGCTACAATTCAATAGTTTTGTTGGCTATTGTTGACTCGAAATACAGATTCATCTATGTGGACATAGGAGCATATGGAAAGGAAAGCGACTCCACTATTTTCCACAACACGAAACTATGTAGGTACGACTTACTGATGAGAGGTGATTTGCCTACACCAACATCGAGGCCGTTACCGAGTTTTCAAGAACCGGTTCCATTTGTTTTTGTCGGAGACGAAGCTTTTTCTATTTCGAATAATGTCATGCGCCCTTATTCTGGCAAGCATTTGTCTGTTAAACAAAGAGTATTCAACTACCGTTTGAGTAGAGCAAGAAGATATGTCGAGTGTACTTTCGGCATACTGGCCAATAAGTGGCGAATATTTCACCGGCCCATTAACGTCTCATATAATTTTGCAATAGACATTGTTGACATCAAGGCTTGTTGCATACTACATAACTTTGTAATTAACCGTGATGGATTAGACACCCCTGTTGAAATGATCATAGATGATTCCGAACTACAACCACTTCAACAAGGGTCGAATGTAGGTAGTCAAGTAGTAAGCGCAAATATAATAAGAAACGAATATTCGGATTACTTTACTAGTGAAGTTGGAGCATTAAGCTGGGAACTACAAAAAATTTAAGAATATACAATGCTGCTTACATTGTTGCTCGCTTAATATACAATGCTGCTTACATTGTTGCCCGCTTTCTTGATATTAAGTCAATACAGCAGGTACAAAAGGTTCACATCGCAATACAAAAAGTAACGACGCCTAAACAATGGAAACAATTTAAAGAATATTTTTTGTGCTTATATGAATAGAATGTTTGATTTGTAGGTAGTTTTAGTAAAAAGTAAAAAGAAGTTATACTTAATAAATGTATTTGTCTACTTACCAAGTTTGGTTTTTTTCATTGTTTTCTTTTTCCTCGAAAATTGGAAATAAACTTTTCCATACGTCCTTCCAAGCATCTTGTTAGATGAATTTGTTTTTATATTCTTCATTACTAGTGTCCCAAAGAACAGGGCGCTCCTCAATCAGTGACATTAAAAAATCAACGTCGTACTCTGTCATTTTTTTACATTAAAGTACACGTCTTGCCCACGCGCAGTCTCAGAGCGAACTAAACAATAATAATATGGTCAACAAGTGTGACGTAACATCGCAGAAATACGCGATGCGAATCAGTTCGTATGTTCTTGCGATGCGTCGTGCGAGGTCGCAGGTTTTTGCGATGCGTCGCATCGCAGTTTTGTGTACAAGCCCTATCCACTAGGCGATAGCTGAAAATCAGTGCGTTGCTTTTGGGCAACACCTGCACTGAGCTATGGTCTGTTTGGCTTACTGCAGCACTCACAAATTGCTTTTTAATTAATTGTAGATATATGTCATTTATTGTGTATATTTATTTGATTTCATACCTTTTTGTTATTTTGTTTTCCGTTTTTTTTTCTTCTTTCTTTCTTTCGCTATTTGCTGTTTCATATTATTGTGTGTGCTTGTGGAAAGTCAATAAACGTATTCTATCTATCTATCTTCAAAGGACGAAGCACGAATATTCACGGTGTAATGGTGTTCACAATCAGTGGAGGATTTTGAATAAATAACAAACTGACTGTGGACGTTTATTCACAGGGTGCCATTTCACGGTAGAAAATTTACCGAACTTCTCGCACCGCCACACAACTTCCACCGGCGTCCCCGGACTGTGTTGCACACTAGAACGTGCCACTGCTCGTATCCTGCCACTGCTGAACACCTAGCAGTCCATCGCCGTCAGAAGTGTACCGCGCTACAGCGGTAAAACCAGATTGGCTTTCGAGCCCCCATAAGTGAAGATAATTATTTATATACAAATTAATAACGAGTTCTTAGGTTTTCGCGTTTATTACACGTAGGAAATGAAACTATTTTTCCGGATTTAAATCGTGTATATTAGTTTTTTCAAACAAACCGACGTTTCGGGCCCTTTACACACAGCTACAGTCTTCAACCAGTTATACGACCATGGGACCTATAAAGGGCCCGAAACGTCGGTTTGTTTGAAAAAACAAATATACGCGATTGAAATCCGGAAAAATAGTTTCATTTCCTATACAAATTAATAAATTCTTAAAATTTGTGGACTTTCGGTATTTTATTTATCACACCTTTTACTATTCACGTCTAGATTTCGCAGATTGTCGAAAGATTGCGACTTCATTGCTGTAGACGCAGAAACGAATCACAACGACAGTGTCAGAGAAGCATCTGTTTCTCTATAATTACCTCAAATATAATAAGACAACGCCTCCTTGAGAATTTGACGTTAACCTTGGATCAAGCATATAATCAAGCATAAATCCCCAAATTTGGGGAGAGCAAAGTTCATATTCCCCACATCTCGAGTTTTCATTATTTATTATAAAAACATCGCTTAAAAATATAATAAAGAATTAAGAAACTCAAAATGTAATAATCTATTACGTTTGCTGTGAATGTAAACAGAATGTAAAAAGTAAAACTAACTATAAAATTAGATGACCTTAAATCGTTTATTTATTTTAAATTAGATTCAACATTAATCTGTAATCAGTATTTGAAAAAAAAAAACATTTTTCTTTGCCTTACAAAATTAAATAAATTGATTATTTGTTGTGCATTTGGTGACACCATGTTAATGTTAGAAATAATCAATGACTTTCGACCTATATTAATATTTAAAGTTGACGAGTGGTAAGTTGTGGTGTAGAAGTACCAACTACTCGGCTTTGTTTATCAATAGCTGATTTCGTTTTGCTGCATACCGGGGACCGGCCTAAGCGGGAGAAAGAATCGCGAACTCAACACGCATCGACTGGTAATTTTACAATTCAGAACCAAGTGCTCTAATAATAATTCTACACACTACTGGACGCGTACCCTTTACCAAATATCGAAGATACAGGTTCCAGAATATCTAAGTACTCTACATTCAGCGCCATTGACTAAAAAAGCGCTTATCATCAAGTTCCAATACCTACTACCGGAGGAGAAATCATACACTCCTTTGAAGCGAATGGCAATCTTTATCAATTTCGTCGTAAACAACGGTATAACCAGTTTTCAAAGAACGATTGATTGGGTGATAAGAAAGGAAAACTTTCGTGGGACCTTTGCGTATTTAGATGATGTCACAACTCAGTTTCTGTGATGATGCATGCACAATGCACTTATGGAATATCACATACAAGGGGGTATTTCCAAATCGGTTGGCATGCCGTTAAAAAATGAAAATACAACAATAAATTATGATCGGTATATAATTACTGTACACTGTACTTTTATATTACATACATGGCCATGACTGAATCGCCGAGACGAATAACCTTGCACATTGAGGAATGGATCGACAATTATAAATGGTACTATTAGTAGGAAATCACAGTCATGTACCTACTAGTAGGCCGGTATTAATAAATAATGAAAAAACCAAGGTACTACACTTGCATTATTCTTAGTAGTTATAAGAGAAACAATAATTATAACATAATATACCTATAAACCTCGTATGAAACCATTTAGTTTGTTCGTATTGACGTTCTAGAGTTTTTAATTTCGCAAATGAATCATTAGGGTTGGACAACACTTGTCAGCACGCGTTAGCATTGCGTTTGTACTACTGTATACGAGTGTTTAATACGGAGTAGATATCGTCGGCACTGTCAGTGTAGGCGACACGCTATTGCGACCGTGCAGCTCGGCACCGCCTGCTAGGCGCCTTTGCACAACCAGACGCAGGCTTGCTTCAGTGCGCAGTCAGGGAGGAAGAGGGGGCCCTCTTCTTGGGGTGAATGTGTTTTGACACGGACCCCCGTGTCAAACACACACACAAACAACACCCCGATATATTTCCCTGCAACCACTGACGCCGGTAAGATAACTGCACCAGCATCAAGAGCGTATGTGAAAAACAAGTTACGTAAGTGTGAGGATATTCAAAAGACTTGATATCGGACCAGCGCGACAGGCGTAGGTGCAATCGAAGGGTTACGGAACACACCACACACCTGAAAGGTTTGGTGTTTGGTTCCCTGACGTTTATTTTATTTTATTTTATTTTTCTTTTTATTGTAATCGTATAGCCAAGAACACGTGAAGCTTGACACTTTGTACTTTAGATCGTTCTTACCGTAAGCGGCATTGAGTTGGAATTAAGCGATAAGTGTCAAGCTTGACGTGCTCTGACCCTGTACAAATTACAGAAAACATTGTTTTGCATTGTTTTCATTGTTGTACACAAAAGCGAACATAAAGGGCTCTGAATTTGCTATAACACGTTCTTCTGACATATTGTTAAAATGCATAGATATTGTTCAGTGTTAAGTAGAAATCGTGTGCAAATCGATAGCCGGTACTGAAGCAAACAATAAATGCAATTTGACAAAATCGCCGAAAGCGATATCTTTCCTACACTTACCTATCGGTTTTCCTAACGAGCAGTCAAAAAAGTATCAAGTCGTAGTACGAAAGAAAGTAACCGCGACCGCACCGCGAGCGTACGGCAGTTTAGCGCAATACGGGAAAGCGTGCTGGCGAGCGGGCCCGCGCCTGGCCTCGGCGAAGCGGAGCAGTGCGGGGCGAGGCGAGGGCAGGCGGCGCGGCGCTACAGGTTGGCCAGGAAGTGCCACTTGTCCACTGCAACACGAAAGCCGCCGCTGCAGGTCGCCCGGGCCGGCGGGCGGCCGGGCGCGACCGGACTCACCCGTGGCCGGGACGGGCTGCGGCAGCGCGCGCGGCGGCGCCTTGGCCAGCACGGCCGCCGCCTCGGCGCGCTCCACGCGGTGCGGGCTGCCGTCCACGCTCACGTTCGTCCTGCAAATGTCGGCGGCGTCGGCGTCGTCGCCCGTCACCAGCGCGCGCCAGAACTCGTGCACCTGCAACGGGAGGGTCGCGTCGGAGGCCGCCCGGCGCCGCGCCCCGGCCGCGGGTCCGCACTCACCTCGTCGATGACCTTGTGCGCGAAGTCGGCGTCCTTGGCCTCGCCGCCGAAGGCGAACTGGTTCTGCGGCTTGCCGTCGGGCACCTTGTAGAGGCGGAACCACTCCACCGTCGCCTTGAGCAGGCCGGGCAGGTGCTTCTCCACGTCGGCGACGTCGCGCAGCTCGGGCGCCAGGGGGTCGCGCGTGTCGATGGCGATGAGCTTCCAGTCGGTCTCGCCCTCGTCCACCAGCGCCAGCGCGCCCAGCACCTTGACGGGCAGCACGTCGCCCCGGCCGGCCACTCTCTGGCCTATCTCCAGGACGTCCACGGGGTCGTTGTCTCCTCTGGCCTGCGTGCCCGGGTCTACGTGCCGCGGGTTCTCCCAGGTCTGAGGCAGCGCGCCGTAGTTCCAGATGTAACCGCGGTGCGGGAACACGTTGGCCACGTAACGTAGCGCGCCCTTCTTTACGTCCTGCAGGATGGGGTTCAGTGGCTCTCCGCGGCTGATCTCCATCTTGGCGTTAGACCAGCGCGGCACCTCCACGACCATGTTGGCGATCCGCGCGGCTCGATCGGCCCACAGAGGGATATCGTGAAACGGTGAGATCGGCCCACTCTCATCCTCTGTAACAAACGCCATTTATTACTCTTTCTCTGCCATTGGAATTAAAGCAGCTTATTGAACTCGGCAAATAAAAAATTACATGAAACTCAAATTCATAAATAAATCTTTACCTACCCTCAATGAAAATCGTGAAAATTGTGTTTTTACGTAAGCGTTTCATGTAATGTTTATTTTAATATTAAAGTCACATACGCTTTCATGCGGTGTGAATTGATGCAATTTGTAATACATCACCAAACACAAACATGTTTCAAATTGACGAATAATACAATTAGCTTTCATTCTTTCCAACTCCTGAAATTCCTTTCTAAGAAAAGTAACTCCTTGAAAATTAGAATACATAACGAAAAAGTTCTGATCATCCAAAATTATAAATTTTTTAAATCCGTTTTTCTTAAAACATGGATTTAATTTCTTATTCAGCATGGTTTTCACAGAGGGTTCTGTACACTGCTTTTTGTTTTCTTTTCAATACTCACATCACTTTGCTCTCGTGGTAGTTATTGTGCCCTTTTTAAAAAATTATGTGCATGAATGAAATTTATTTATTTGTGGATACAAATAAATAAATTTCATTAAAAAGGGTAATCATAGAAGCAAAAATTAGTATATAATAAAAACATTTTAATTTTTATATTATAAAAACACTATGAGCCAGCGCAAACTGGGGGACTGCAGGGGAGAGCATAGAAGAGGGTCTTATGCCACCAGCGCACAATGATGAGGGTACACTCTTACGATACCGCGAGCGTCCGCCAGCATACCGTAGAGTCCACTGGAATGTCGCGTCATCCGCCGACATGCCACCGGTGGCTCGGATTTGATTCCGTGGCACTAGCAACTACGCAATCGAAAAGTCTCGCGCATACCGTTAGTACCCAGCGCATGCCGCCGCGGTATCCTCCAGCGCGCTTTTCAATACCGCAGAGAAAAATGCTCTGCGATTCCGAGGTCGGTTTCAGAGCATTGAAATTTATACCTGATTGAAATAAAATATACATTGATAAATTATTGTCCTCTGCCTTCTCGCCTACGGTTTGCGCTGGCCCTTAGACAGCATTCACACAAGTAATACTTGGCTCCAAACTATAAACATATCGAGATAATATTACGTTATGTCCATGTAAAATTCATAACTTTCAACAATTATGGTATGGAGCCACACTGGCATAATATATTTCATTTAATACACTCGCCCAAAGAAATCGCCTAAGCCCTTTTCAGTGAATTTGAAATATTTATAATTTAATTTACTATTTATTTTAGCAGTAGCAGAGATACTTGTGAAAGAGTTTGTCCATAAGTACTGTCACCTTACCTATTTCTATTGCCAAGCAGTAATGATGAGCACTGCTGCATTCCAGTAATAGGTAAAAGGGCAAGGGTGATGGTGAAACTATAGATTCAAGTTCTGAGCGACACTACAACTGTTAAGGACAGGTGTGTCGCTTTCCACCATACACAACTTGTTCATGCCATCACTTGGCACCATTAAAAAAATTTTACATCTTGCTATATTGATTAGATGAAACATTCACACTTCATTGGTTAAATTCGAAAACATTGTAACTTCGTTTTTGTACAAAATCCCTAGTGTACACTTCAAGCGTAGTTCAGGCAATTATAGCTTAAAATTTGATTTGTAGACCCTATTTTAGTTATAACATAAAGGTATAATCAAAGATTGTCACACAATTCTTTCTAGTAATTGTGTTTTTGTACCTCCTCAAAAGTTCACATTAATGAAGGTCACCAGGTGTACAAATTTAGCTAATAATAATAATATATATTTCGAGTTCTTAGGTTTTCGCGATTGTTACACATAGGAAATGAAACTATTTTTCCGGATTTAAATCGCGTATATTTGTTTTTTCAAACAAACCGACGTTTCGGGCCCTTTACAGGCCGTGAAATGTAACATCCCCTTACAGGATGCAGGAGTTTACAAGCTTGACTGTGAGTGCGGTCTCTCTTATATTGGACAAACAAAGCGAAGTATTTGTACCCGCGTCAAAGAACATATAGCTGATGTCAAACACCGTCGCGTAAACAAGTCTGCAGTCTGCGAGCCGAGCGAGAGAGATGACATCATGGATAAACCTACACATTCAATGAAGTTTGACAAACCCCAGGTCCTTGCAAAAGAAGTCCGTTATCTACCCAGGATGCTGCGAGAGGCCATTGAAATTAAAAAACATCCTAATTTCAACAGGGAAGATGGTTTCTCCGTACCACCAGTTTGGGATCCAGTATTTCCTCTAATGAAAAATCCCAAACAGACATAAGACTGCAGTACTAATTAATATGTTTTAGTTTATTCTAATTTCTATTAATAATTAATAATAAATTAAACTTAATAAAAATTCATTCAATAAAATAATTTGTAAAACTTAATGTAGCGTAAATTGGAATGTTTTCTTTGTAAAATTAAAAATAAGGTATTTAATTAATAACTATTGTAACTATAGTGAAAAAATAGGGTGGTTTGCATTAATATTAGACATAACTGGTTGAAGACTGTACCACCTCAGTCAACCGTGACCATGGGACCTGTAAAGGGCCCGAAATGTCGGTTTGTTTGAAAAAACAAATATACGCGATTTAAATCCGGAAAAATTGTTTCATTTCCTATAATAATATATATTGCTCGATACGGCACATATTGTTCGCAGGTTCTTGAACCTGAGTCCCTGACCCCAGCTGACTGTGCGACTGCGGGGAAATACTGCCACTCCCATTTAAAAATTCAAAATTAATCTTTTAGGACTTGGGAAAGGCGAGAGTCTAAAATAGATAAAATAAAAATAATATTAATAATAATGCACACACTCAACATAGCCCCGCACTAGGGAAATCCTGTGTCGCGGGTGCCATGGACACACACATAGACAGCCACAAATTACATCCAAACTCATGAGAGAAATAAATGTAGGCTATACAAATATTTCTCCCAGCCCGGGAATCGAACCCGAAATCGGACTTCTGCGTGGCAGTCCGGTACAGTAACCATTCGGCCACAGAGGCAGTAAGCTGACACCTTGTTACAAAATAATTACTATACATAAATTACGTGTTTCGTATTCGTTCCATATTTTACTGCACAATCTTTGACATTGAATATCCATGTGCCATTTCTGGCCAATCCATTAGAACCTATTTTTATAGGCATATTCAGAACACAGGAATGATATTTCGACTCATCTGAAGAACAGAATCTGATGTGACTATATAGCGAAAAGAGAAGAAGGATGTTACGAGAATAATTTCCTTATTCAAACTAAGGTCTACATAAAGGTGTTTTGAGAATTTATATATCTTATTTCATTTCGGAAATATAAGATTGAACAACGGCCGATCTGACATCTACAGCGAAGAAGAATGAACAACATGTACCATGTTCTGAGAACAAGTAGTCTTGCACATAGATCTTTGTTCTACAGATGAGTTGATTTCTAAAAGCAAGATAGTTGTGTCAAATTATGTTTGTATGAACTATATTGACACAACTTGATATATGAGTGCACTTGTTTGCTGGTAGTTAGTACCCTTCTGCTCCCCGACTTAAGGTGCAAATGGTTGTTTCATAATGCACCTTCTATCTCCCATATTGTATGTTCTAAGGTGATGCTAAAGCAATACGTTACATAAGGTATTTTGAGATAATACCCATACAATGTCAAGTGAGATTAGCATTAAACTATTATCACTCAACAGTACTTATGACTACTGAAATATTATCAAATTGGTTGGATCAGCAGTGCACCATTACAACCGATAATGGGCATCTTATCAGCCCACAAAGGTCAAGCCAGCATTGGAAATTGTAACAGCAACGGCATTTCCAGCACCAACTGATTACAATTTCAAAATCCGAGAAATTTGAGTCATTTACAAATGCCAATTATATTCCATAGATCAATTTTATTTAAAGCATGACAAAGCCTTTACAGGACTTCCTCAGTCAAACTTATCAAAACAGATTTATTTTGGGGTGAATATGTAGAAATATGTACAATTTTTTGTTGTCTTCTGCTGGATATAATGTTATTTCATTGTGAGACAGATTTGCATCGTAATAAGCAAACGTTATAATGAGTAGACTAAAATTTGAGTTTTCTTTTTAAATTTCAGTACAACGCACCTCAAGTGCGTTTTGAGTCTGGGTCCGCCACGTCGCAGCGTGAGCGCGACCTACGACCGCGCCGGTGATTTGATCGTGTCTGAAGGCACTCACTGAAATAAACCCGGTAGTCGGGCGCGTACTGCGAGCCGCGTTCCTCGGCAATATACATGTTCCTGACGCACTTGTTGACTGCTGCCACACTGCTGCTCGCAATAGGGTCGCTACTGCACTGGTTCACACCGGCTCGAACTCCACTAGGCACCAAAAGACGCACGAACGAAAGTATTAGCGGAGTCGCCGCGCCACGTGAAAATGACATTTTAATTTTTTTCGTCACATTTCACAAATTTATTTTGGTAGGCAAGGATTTGACCATACAGCCTCTTCATAAATGACATTTTAGTATTGACATCTTCTTTTTTTTCCTTCGTTCCGTATGGAACAGGTGAAGGTCAAAAACCATACTGCCTAGTCATTAGTTTCTCTTTTTTTTTTCATTATTATATGCTTCGATTTAAGTCTTCTGTGTTGTTTCGACTTGACGTTTCAAATCAAGTCCAAAACGTTATTAATCATTTATTATTAATTATTAATTATACTTTATTAATATTAATCACAATTTTGTGTCGTCGCTCGTAACGACTTCAATCTATTAGACAAGAACATTCACAACAATTACATGTTCCAAATAGTTCCAAACAAAACACTATCAATAGTGATACCATAGATTATATGAGTGATACTAATGACAATGTTTTGTTATATTTATAGTGTTGAATTTCGTCAAAGAGTATCAGTACCGTAGTGCCAATAGTACCGTGGATAGACGTAACAGTCTATACCTATTGGAATGAGCTAGGCAGGCAGATAATATTGAGTGTTTACCAATGATATTTATATCCATAGTTGAGGAATTAACTAACTTAATTTATAGCAAAGTCGCTATTAGTTGCACAATACTTAATTTTAATAATTTTAATAACAGAATATCGATAATATGTACGCTTACAAGATCAACACTATGTCAAAATAATCGTTAACAACAATCATCAAAATATACAAACAAACAGGCAATCTAAAGTAACAAAAGCAAAATTTGGCAAGATTTATAAATAAACTACTTAAATAAGTCTAATTACATGAAATATTTGGGCTATTGTGTGATTTATAGACAAAAAATAACACATGCCTGTGCAATGTAACATTCGATTGATTTGCACTTTTTCTAAAGCCACATCCCTTAATGCTGCAGCGTCGCATTTTTATTAATACCTAATTATTCTCACTGTCAATATTTTTGTCCAATTTAATTATAATACATGCGAATAATTCAATAGTACATTTGGAAAAACATTTATTTTGACATTTGATGTACTTCCCTTTGACAACGGTATCATGTACCTTATGTACTGCGAAATGGACACGGTTGGCATTTAAGATGACGTTACTTATTTTCGATTCCCGTGTTTGACACAAACCAATGTAATGCTATCTCTTTTGGCTTAAGTCGGCAAGTAATAGTTAAACAAAGATAATAACATGTTTATGTTTTCGACGTCGAAATGCATCATATACAATACATATAACGTCTGATTTATATATGTCAATGTAACATGTCCTTTACGGCCGCTTTCTATATTCAATCTCAATCCATAATTTGCTATAATATAATTAATATTATAATTTGATATAAATAAGTTTGAATAATCAATCCAAATCCTATTTTTACTATTTCAATAACCGATCTATGGATCGTTATTCCGATCCTTTGTTTCAATCCATCTGTATGGCATTTTTAGATTGCTATTTGTATGGTAGTGACAGTTGTGCGCTTTCAATATCCAATCCATAGTTTTGACAAATCGGATTTTGCATGTGTTTGATCTAGTATAGTAGCGATCCTCCAATTTTGACCGATTGTACTGTGTAATCGTGTAAAAATGGAAGTTATTTTTAAGTGATAGCGACTGTGAACTTGAACATTTGCTCAGTTATCGGACTGGGATAATAGCGACAGCGACCAAGAGCAGCTTGTGTTCTCAAGAACGTTTACGGCCGCTTTCTATATTTGATCCTGAATCTAAGATTGTTTTCTATCCGGATTTTATTCGATCCATCGATCGCTGCCGAATCTGTATTTCAATATGTCCATCTCGGCTCTAGCGCCCTTAAAAAAAAAGGATCGGTCGTAAATTTACTCCCTCTCCGACATTTAGTTCCACGCAATCGGAGTAAAAGACCAATACATGAATTAGTGAATAAAATGGTGGTTATATTTCTAAGATTAATTTATTTATACATGTGACTTTGGCAAAAATATAAATTAATTGCAAACTTTCAAGTATAAAATATTTAAACCGTAAGTACGGCAAGAATAACGTGTTTCTAGGAACAGAACGGAACGTCTATTGTCCAGAACGGAACGTTTATTGTCAAACGAGCGGGACGGCCATATAGGATTAAAAAAAATAAAGGGACGGCGCGCGGCGGCAGCGGCGAAACGTTAGTGTCAAAATTGACACTAACATTTCGCATAACAAAAAATAAATATGTTTTGTTGATGTTTGTTCGTATTCGTGACGTGATAAATAATCTAAATTATAAAAATACCGTTTTAATTTGACTTTGATAAACGTTATTATTTTTTCAAAACGGCATTATTTCAGTTAAAACAAATTCATCTGATGTTTTGGTCAGCCTAAATTTGGATGTAAATTCAGCGTCAGTTAAACTTACCATGAAATTTATACGCCTAAACGTTCTTGAGGACACAAGTTTGCAATTAATTTATATTTTTGCCAAAATCACATGTATAAATAAATTAATCTTAGAAACATAACCACCATTTTATTCACTAATTCATGTAATGATCTTTTACTCCGATTGCGTGGAACTAAACGTCAGAGAGGGAATAAATTTACGACCGATCCTTTTTTTTTAAGGGCGCTAGAGCCGAGATAGACATATTGAAATACAGATTCGGCAGCGATCGATGGATCGATTAAAATCCGGATAGAAAACAATCTTAGATTCAAGATCAAATATAGAAAGCGGCCGTTAGTTTCCATAGTCTAAGGAATGACCTTTAGACCATGCAGTCTAGTCAAATAAACAAACATCGTTGAGCCTACTAAATTATTTTAATTTGGCATCTTTAGTAACTGTTTTAATCATAATTATACTTATAAGTACTCTGTTATTGTGTAGTCAGACACTCTGTTGCTTAGTATTCTACAATTTAAGTTTAGTCTTTTTTAATACCCGTCATCTATGAGTAGTCTTCCTTGTATAGCGGCAGAGAGCGGTTGTGCGGCTGTGCGCTCGCTGATTGTTGTTTTGAATTTGTGCTCGTGCTGCTGTGATTGGTGAGCGGTGTCAGTTTCGTTTTCTTGTCGCTCTTGAACGGCTCTTACCTGTTTTCCTCCCCTCGGGGGGAGTGCGACCGAGATAGCAGCTTGGTGCTCTGTGTGGATTTTGTGCAGCGATTTAAATAACTACAATTGTCGTGCCGCCGAGCGGCTCGAACCGACGACCCGAAATCCGCAGTCAACCGTTGTTGCCGTTCGACCACAATCTACCTGACATCACGCCGCGAAATTAGCTGTAGCACTGAGCGCGCTACTGACGTCACTTACACTTCGTGCTACTACGTTTGGGGGCGGGACGCTACGGCTCTACGACGTGCTTCGTGCTACGTGAACTTTACTCTACGCAAACCCTGCTACCTGTTAAGTGGCTAATTCATAATTCATTGTTAAACTTTACATTACTGATTAACATCTTGGCGTTGTCCTACGACTCTGAAAAAAAAAAATCGATTCATTCGATATGCCTCTAAAGAGAACTCCCCCCCAGCCCACCGCCTCCCCTGCACGTAGCGAGTCAGAGCCAGACCTTGCGGGTTCTACACCATATGGCAAAGAACATTCCGTAACCTTTAGACAGAAACGACCTCGTGAAGAGATAACCCTGAATGATCTTATGGATAATATGAGGTCTATGTTTAAAGAGTTCAAGGAGGAACAAGACCATAAATTGGCCAATTTACAGTGCTCTGTTACTGATATAAGAGATCAACAGGACAAAAAATTAAATTCTCTTCAAAATTCAATCACAGAAATAAGAAAACAGAACGAGGATATACATTCATCCATAGAGTTTCTCTCTCAACAAAACACGGAACTGAAGGAAAAGGTTCTCAAGATGGAGAAAGAGCAGAAAGAAAATAGTGCCTATATTAGAAACCTGGAAGAAAAACTGGAAACTTTTGAAAGACAAAATAGGTCATCTAGCATTGAAATCCGTAACATTCCAGTTCCTAAATCTGAAACAAAGGAAGACCTTTTAAAATTATTTCAAAAAATTATATTAGCTTTGAACGTTGATGCGGCTCCTTCAGATATTTGTGATATTTACAGGGTCAACACTAAGGTGCCGACATACAAGCCTATTGTTTGCAACTTAAATAGTATACTTGTAAAGGAAAAGGTGTTAACGAGCATAAAGAACTTTAACAATGCTCACAGAGATAATAAATTCAGTACAGAACATATACATATCCAGGGGGCTTCTCAGCCTATTTTTATTTCTGAGAATTTAACACCAAAAATGAGAAGATTATTCTTTCTCGCGAGAAGTTTTGCAAACACAAATGGCTACTCTTTCTGCTGGACCTCCCGTGGAAGGATATATTTGAAAAAAAAAGAAGGTGAAAACACTGTTCGTGTAGACTCCGAAACGGATCTAGCAAAACTGGAGAAGAAGAAGTGACTAGTTTTCGTTAACCATGACAATAAGAGACCTTTCCTTTTCGCATTCCTTTTAATTTTTTTAATTATTTTGTGCTATTTACTGTTTTTTAGTTTTTTTGGCCTTCTTGGATTCTTAATCATTTCTTTCTTAGCTATTTTTACATATTTTATCAAATTGCACATAACATACTGTCAAATACACTATACACTAAAAAACTCGAAGTTACACAACCATCCACACACACTTTACAGTCTTACACACCCAAGCTCCAAACCACACATCTTAAACACAACTAATTGTCCACTACATGAAACACATTTCCATACTTGCAGTCCATCATATAAAATAACATATGCTCAAATTATAAAATGTAAAATAAAAACAACCACACCTAAAGATATACAATTTAACTGTTCAAATGATCCCCTAAATTGCTTCAAATATAATTTATCAAATTTATTATGAATATCGACCAATTAAATAATGACGTAGATGATTTACAACATTACGATTCTTTCTATTGTTCGCCAGATGAGTGTTTATCGTACATTGATCCTACCCGAAATAGTCTAAAAATTTTTCATGTGAATATAAGAAGCATAAACCGAAATTTTGATGAACTTACATTATTCTTAAACAGACTGGACTTAAATCCGGATATAATTATTTTAACCGAGTGTTGGCTCAGCAAAGTGGTTAATATTCCGGACCTCATTGGCTTCAACTCCCATCGTTCTACTACACAAAATCAAAATGATGGTGTAATCATATTTGTCAAAACGCAGATTACTTGTGACGTATTAGTGTCAAGCCTGTGTGATGCTAGCGGTCTTACGTTCACTTATAAAAATACCATTGCATTTGTGGCTGTATATCGTTCGCCTGCAAACAAAAATATTGACAATTTCTTGATCTCTTTAAATAATTTGATTACTTCTCTTGCAGCTTACGAAACAATTGCGGTTATTGGCGACATTAATATCAATATTTTATGTGATACAAACGATCCTAAATCGGAGTCCTATTTGAATCTCCTCGCATCTCATGGTCTGTTACCTGCGCACTCGTTTATTACTCATGATAAAAGTTGTCTAGATCATATCATGCTTCGGTCTAACAGAAAAGCTGTTACTTTAGTTTTTGACTCTGGTTTCACAGATCACGCTCCGATTCTCACATGCATTGATCAAAATAAGAATATTTCTCACTCTAGCATACATTCACGTATTAACTACCAAAACGTAGTAAATGAAATAGCGCAAACTGATTTCTCACCCATTCTCAGTTGTAAAAATGCAAACATTGCTGCCGAAATGTTAGTGTCAAATATATCGATGTGTATAGTACATAATACCAGTGTTGTCAGGGTATCATGCAGGAAACGGATTACAAAACCCTGGATCACCCCGGGAATCCTAAGGTGTATCCGAAATCGAGACCGTTTGCATAAAATGGTAAAAAATAATAAAAATAATGTAATAATCAAAATTACATTCCTTAGGTATCGTAATTTTTGTAATAAGCTTTTAAAAAAATTAAAACGTATTTATGAGCAAAATGAACTACAAAAAGCTAAGCACAACCCGAAAGCCACTTGGAATGTCATTAAAAATATAAGTAACCTACGCACTAAATCCCTTCCGTCTAAAGAGCTGTTAAATCTAACAAGTGCACCTAAAACATCCTTAAATATGGTAAATAAATATTTTGGTAACATTGGCTACCACCTTGCATCCGGAGTCCGTCAGGCTCAACAGTTTTCGACAATTAGTATCAACAAACCGTCTCTACCTGATAATGTGAATTTGCTGGGTAACTCCATGGCACTCCTGGAGACAACTGAAAGTGAAGTAGACAATGTGATCGCTGGTCTTCGTGCTGACAGCGCCGTGGGATATGACGGAATTTCATCTACTGTTCTCAAATCCGCTCGAGGCCCTCTTACTCCTGTTATTACACATGTATGTAATCTTTGTCTTCGGTCAGGGGTCTTCCCAAACGTTTTTAAAAGAGCATTGGTGCATCCTATACATAAAGGTGGAGATAAGCGGGATCTTAATAATTACAGACCCATTTCTGTCCTCACTTCCTTGTCGAAAATTTTAGAAAAGATTTTAAATGTGAGATTGACCGGCTTCCTAGATAGATATAATATTCTGTCTGAAAATCAGTATGGGTTCAGGAAAGGTTTGTCAACTGAAGATGGGGTTATTAAACTCACCGATTTCATTGTTAAAAATATAGATAAAAAATATAAAGTCATTGGAACATTCCTTGATCTATCGAAAGCATTTGATACCGTTTCTGTACCCATACTGACACACAAAATGGAGGCTATCGGTATAAGGGGAGTGGCTCTAAATATTTTTCACGATTACCTCATGGGACGTAGACAGTGTGTAAAGGTGGATGCTTTTGTTAGTGACGATGAATATGTAAGTTACGGCGTTCCTCAAGGAAGTGTGCTTGGGCCTACCCTGTTCTTGATATATATAAATAATCTCTGTCAAATGAAAATCCCAAACTGTAACATAATTACCTACGCTGATGACACAGTCCTGTTGACTCATGGGGTCACGTGGGAACATGCCCGTGAGCATACTGAGAATGCACTGCGTAAAACTGCTAACTGGCTTAGTGAAAACTTGCTTACTTTAAATGTCAATAAAACTAAATATATTACCTTTTCTGCATCTAAAATTACTCAACCTAAAATAGATACCTTCAATATTAAAATGCATAACTGTGATATCTTTGATGACTCCTGTGCCTGCCTGAATTTGACTCGTACAGAAACTATTAAATATCTCGGCGTTCACCTCGATAGCACCTTAAGCTGGTCGACACATCTTGATACTATGACATCTCGTGTTCGTAAACTCATGCCTGTTTTTAGAAAATTAAGAGTTTCTGCCGATTGGAACACATTAAAGATGGTATACTTTGCCCTAGCGCAGTCTATTTTGACATATTGTATTCCGGCCTGGGGTGGTGCTTGTGCTTCCCACTTTCTAAAGCTGGAAAGAGCGCAGAGAACTGTCCTTAAATTAATAACCAAAAAATCGTTCCTATATCCAACTACTAAGCTGTACATGGACTGTGAAGTTCTCACAGTAAGACAACTTTATGTCCTTCAATTGATACTACGTAAACACTCTTCTCTCCCTTTAGATGTCAATATAATAAACAAACGCATGAAATATAGAGTATGTCAACCCATCCCTCATAAAACTTCTCTTGCGGCTAGACAGTACTATGTTCGCAGTTCCTCTGTATATAATAAAATAAACAAAATTCTGGATATCTACACCTTACCATTAAGAAAGCTTAAACCTACATTGAAGGACTGGTTACAGAAACTAAGTTTTGCTGCAACGGAGGACTTAATTACTAAACCATGGTAAAGCTTTTATATACATAGTTCATATATATACATAAACTGATTTTTATGGACTGAATCCACACGTACACAAACACGCACACACACTAACACACACACTTACACACACACACACGCACACACACACACACACACACACTCATACACAGACACTCACGTTCCTTCACACCACACATAGTTTATTATAATTTATTTGTCATACTTTACCTGCACTCTCTTGTCGTGTTAATTGTCTTTGGCATTATAATGTCTGTAAGAAATCTGGAGGAAGACGTAGCGTCTGTCATACAGTTTTATTAAAAACTAGTACGGGCGCTATAGATCAACCATACTTAAAATGTTCCTTAAATAATGTCATGTAATTTTTAAGATACCATGTAATAGGCTAGTTGACTCTTTTTTGAAGTAGGTCTAAAATGATTAAGAATTGTTCAATTAAAGCAAAAAAAATGTTACTGTTATAATTATTGTTGAATGGTCGTAACTACAAATAAGATATTTATTTTGGAGAATTTAAATCACGTAAAATATATTCAATTGCTTCAGACACTGACATGAGTAAAAATAAAAAACGATAGAACATAGACAAAAAAGTAAACTATTAGTGCTGTTCCATCACTCCTCCTCACTAAGGGTCGAGGCCAAGGTTCTTGATAATCTTTATTAGACTGGGACCTGGTAAAGCCTTAGTGAACATATCAGCTTCTAATTCATCGGTTCTTTTATATTGCAGCTTAATGAAACCTTCAGACACCTTTTCTTTAATAAAGTGTCTTCTTATTTGAATATGTTTCGAACGTTTGTCCACAATCGGATTTCTTGCTAAGTGTTGTGCTGCCTGATTGTCATTATATAAGACCATGACCTTTTGATCAATTCCAAGATCTTCACACAATTGTAGCAAGTACATGGCTTCCTTAGCTGCTTCGGTCAATGCCATATATTCACTCTCTGCGGTTGAGAGAGCCACAGTTCGTTGTTTCTTAGATTCCCAGCTTACAATACCACTGGCATATGTAAAACAGTACCCACTATATGATCTACGGTCAATTTCACACGTAGCCCAGTTGGCATCTGAGAAACCTTCTATTGGCTTCTGTGCTCTCCTGTAGGTGATACCCATTTCTATGGTTCCTTTCAAATATCGAAGAATCCTTTTTAAACTTTTATAGTGTTCTTCAGTATAACAATTGTTGAACTGACTCATATAGGATACTGCGTAGGAGATATCTGGCCTTGTGGCCACTGCCAAATACATTAGACCTCCAATCAAGTTTTGGTACGGATAGTCATTGGTATTTGTTTGTGCTTTAGCTGGACCCTTTAAAAACTTTGTGCCAGGTTCCATTGGAGTTTTTGACGGCTTGCAGTCTTCCATGCCATAGGTTTTAAGTAGCTTTTTGATATGTGTAGATTGCGACATTTTTAATGTGTTTTCAAGTTTATTATATTCAATTTTTATGCCCAATATTTGATCGACTTTAAGTTCTCTCATACAAAACGTTTTTAACAACCTTTGTTTAACGTCATTCCATTTATTACCTTTAAAAGTAACAATAATGTCATCAACGTATATAGCGATGTTAATAATATCTTCCTCTCCCCCTTTCACATTAAGTCTATATACGCAGGGATCAGCATAGGATGGGAAGAAATTCAAAGCTTTTAAAGTACTGTCAAGTTTTTCAAACCATTGTCTTGGCGCTTGTTTTAAGCCATACAGCGCTTTCTGTAAAAGGCATACTTTAGGCTTTTTTATATTATTTTTTAAATCTTGTAGCATAATCCTTGCTGCTTCCGATTGTTCTTCGTCATTTTGTATTATCTCGCATAGGATTTTTTGCATTTGATCAGGTATTTTCATATAAATTTTTTCATGCAAGTCTCCATTTAGAAATGCAGTTGTGACATCTAACATTTCTATATTTAAGTTATTTTCAATAGCATTTGCCATTACCATTCTAATAGAGCTTAATTTTGATACAGGTGAATAAGTTTCATCGAAATCGATCCCAGGCATTTGGTTAAAACCTCTAGCTACTAATCTAGCTTTTAATCGTTCGACTTTTCCATCAGCTGTGTATTTTTCTTTTAATATTATTTTGTTAGTTACTATGTTCATACCTTCTTCTTTATCTATAATTTTCCATGTTCCATTTTTCAGGTGAGCTTTGAACTCTGCTTTTATAGCTTCATGCCATTTAGAGTCTGATTCGTCTTTATCCGAATCACATAGGTAAGCATAATCATTCTCATTATGATTTACAATTTCATCAGTAGTTTTCATTACATAGTCTTTGGACCAAATAGGTAATTTCTTTATTCTTTCAGAACTTTGACGAGGCTCTATTCCATCAACAGCGTTTTCAGCAAGAGAAGTGTGGGTTTCAACCTCACTATCATTATCAGACTCAGTATTTAGCTGAGTATTGCTCATATCAAGAGAAACATTCCTTGCCGGGTTGCTGTCCGGAATGAACACGTCAATAAAGTTTTGTTCATCAATATTCTGTTCCTTATTTGTAGAGTCTTCAGTTGCAAAATACATTTTATTTACAATACGTATATCTCTGCTAATTACAACATTATCTGTCTTGGGTAGATAAATCAGATAGGCTTTTGATTGCTCTGAATATCCTGCAAACATACCTACAGATGCTTTTGGTTCAAATTTAGTTCTGTATCGCTTATTCAGTACAAAGGCTTTTTGACCAAATATGTGTAGATGTAACCCAGAAGGGACACGACCGACCCATTTTTCAAAAGGTGTGTCATTATTAATACTTTTATTTATGCATCTATTTGATAGGTAATTTGCGGTGTAAATAGCTTGACCCCATAGTTTCTCAGGTGCTTTTGACTCTATTAACATAGTTCTAGCTTTTTCTTGTAAGGTTCTATTTTTCCTTTCTGCTAGACCATTTTGTTCACTGGTGTAGGGGCAGGATAATCGCCTCCTTATTCCATTTTGATTAAGGTAATTTTGAAAGTCTTCATTTAGATATTCTTTACCATTGTCAGTTTGTAGGCATTTTATTTTTAAATCAAGCACATTTTCCATTTCTTCTTTGTATATCTTAAAGCATTTTAGAGCTTCATTCTTTTGTTTCATGAAGTAAACACGAGAGTACCTCGAGAAATCATCAATAAACGTTATGAAATATTTATTTCCTGCATGCGTTGGTACTCGCATTGGACCACATAAATCGCTGTGAACAATTTGTAACGGTTTATTAGTTCTAGGTTCAGAAGCTGATTTATACGTTGTTTTAGTCATCTTCCCTTTAATACAGGCTTCACATTCTTCTAACTTATCATTTTTATTGAACGCCATGCCTTGAACCTTATTATTTTTTAGTGCTAATTTCAAATCTTGCTCATTCGCATGTCCTAGCTTTTGATGCCACTCCATAATATTATTACAATATGAAGAGTTGACTTGTGCTTTTACATGTCTTGGCGTTATATAATATAAACCATCTTCACGCTTAAACGCTCTCATTGTTATCTTTCCTTTTGCATTCTTTACTGTGGCCACTTTGTCTCGGAATAAAATGGTATTTCCATAACTTGTACTTTTTCCAACTGACATTAAGTTAGTATTTAGGCTTGGTACATATAGAGAATTAAACAAATTGTGTCCTGATTCTGGTACCTTGAAAGTGACCGTGCCTTTTCCTTTTATTTCTGTGTAAAAGTTATCTGAGGCTAGGCTGAGATTTTGTTTAATTTCTTGCATATCATGCAGATAATCTCTATTTTTGGTCATGTGTGACGTACAACCACTGTCAAGAACCCATTCATCTTCTTCAATAATTTTGTTGTTAAGTGAAGATAGACACTTTTCATTGACTAGATTTGCCGAGTTGTTGTTATTTTTATAGCCTTTATTATTACGTGTTGCATTTTTATTTTGGGACGTACTTGGTTTGTTGTAACAATCTGTAATTGTGTGCCCTCCTTTTTTGCAATAAGTGCAAAACTTGAACTTACGCTTTTCTTTGTTTTGGCCATAAAAGGCTTCTTGCTGTACATTAACTGTATTTTCGCTTGCATAGCAATGCTTTCTTGATTCACTTTCCTCGATTATTTTTATTTTTAACTCTTCTGGCTTAGGTAGAACATCTCTAGTTTCGATTGCTACTCTTAAGTTGTCATACGACACAGAGAGACTATACAGCATTAGAAAAGTGAGGATGTCGTCATGAACTTGTATGTCCATTTCCGCTAGTTTATCAGCAGTTTCCATAAATTGCTTCAAATGATCTTTAATTTGATCGTCATTTGTAAGTTTTGACAGAAGCAATTGTTTCAATAGCGATGCTCTTTTGGCTGGCCCTTTGGAATCATAAATGCTTTTTAGCTTGTTCCATATATCCGCTGATGTTTTGCAATTTTTTACTTGCTTTATTTCAGACGGACATATCAATAGTAACAGCTCTGACTTCGCTTGAACGTCCCCGTCCTCATCTTTGGATGTTATGGACCCTGAAATGTGTTTCCACAATCCATTACGCGTTAAAACAGCTTGAGCCTGTATGCACCAGGTCTCATAGTTATTTTTTCCCAACGGTTCTATTTTGTAGTTCGCCATGTTTTTTTATACAATATTTTAATTGTTTTATTTTTATTTTATTTATTTATATTTTTATAATATTTCGCGAACTTCCAACCAACCACGCTCTGCTACCATGTTATAATTATTGTTGAATGGTCGTAACTACAAATAAGATATTTATTTTGGAGAATTTAAATCACGTAAAATATATTCAATTGCTTCAGACACTGACATGAGTAAAAATAAAAAACGATAGAACATAGACAAAAAAGTAAACTATTAGTGCTGTTCCATCAGTTACCATATTTTTTTGAGACCTAGGTAACCGCAAAACTTAATTTAATGATTTTACTTTTCATACACAGGCGAAAACGCTGTCGGCCATATTAGTCTATAGATTATCTGTGCTGTGACGTCATTGTGCACATAAACAATCATTTGACCTCTGACAAACATTCACCGTTGTGTTAGCACTAAGTTTTTATTAAAAACCATGACTTCCACTAGTTTATACGAAAAGTATAGTAATTATCGTTATTGTATTGTACGAGAATGCAAAAACACATCAATAAAGACCCCAGGAAAGTTATGGATTAGCGTACCCAAGGAAATAAACATGCGAAACACCTGGCTAAAACTTGCTAATAAGGAACCAGATTCATTTTCGACTGAAAGTAACATTTATTTTTGCGAAGATCACTTTGACGTAAGTACTTACTTAATAGCTTAATCAGTTTCTACAGAAACTTTATATTTAGTTTAAAAAATACAAGTTTTATGGTTATGTACCAAGTCAATGAACAAAATACTAATTTTGTTGTTATTTACCTTTCAGTTAGAAAATGACATGGAAAATTACACGCGGTATAAAATAATGGGTTCTGTTAAAAGGATCCGAATGAAGCCCAGTTGCATACCCTCCAGATTTGACTGCCAAACAGCTAGAAAACGCAAACCTACTCCACCAACAGATGAGCATGCAATGCAACAGCATGCTTCCAAGAGAACAGCATTGGTGCCTGTATCAGGAGATATACAAATCCAGTCCATAGAAATGCCAATATCATTGTTTCATAAAGGTAATATGAGTATGTTTTAATAAAGCAATAAATAGCTCTTTGCGAGTGGATCATAAAATTTGTTTAAACAACTATATTAATTGTTTTCAGAGTTACTCAGTGAAGAAGATGCCATACCTACGTGTACTTCTCATGAGAAGGAGTTTCATGACAAGGCAGTGCAAGTAGTACAGCTTAACATTCAGTTCTGTGATCAAGCAGTACAAGTTCAACCATTACATGAACATGTATCTTGTCAAGTAGTACAACATCGTGCTCACAAATTGATTCAAGCATGTGTTGCAAAACATTATAGAAGTAAACAAGTGCAATTCAATGTGGCTGTGAAAGATACTGTATCATCACCAATACAACTGTTTGCTCATCAATCAACTTCAACATCACCTAATAAGCCGTCTATGTCTGGTCATTCGTCAACAAGAAGAAAACTAATTTTTACTGAGGAAAAATATGACAGTGATGTATCTTATACATTATCTCAAGAAGGATCAACCTTTGACTCATCTCCGTCAAAACCATCAAGTCAAACTACTGAAGACAGTTCACAGGAAAAGATTATAAAAGACCAGAAATTAAATTTACAGAGTACCCTATCTAAGATAAAGAAAAATCCTAGAATGTATATTGGGATACCAGCAGAGCTTTATTTTATAGTTGATATTATTTCAAAACACACACAACAATCAGAGAATCACATTTTATTATGCTTAGTGAAAATAAGATTAAATAGAACCTTTTCTCAGTTAGCAGATGATTTTGATATTTCACTGTCTCAAGCAAGTAAAATCTTTTACAGTAAATTACCTTCCATTGTTAATGTTTTATTGCCTTTCATAAAAACATTCACTAAAAGCACAATTAAAAAAAACTTGCCCATAGCATTTCGCCATAAATATAATAAGGTAAATTGTATTATAGATTGTTTAGAAATAGAGATTCAAAAGCCAAAAAAAGCTACTCATCAGGCACTGACTTGGTCAGAGTATAAAAAAGCTAATACCTATAAATACCTCATATCATGTACACCTGATGGATTAGTCAGCTTTGTGTCTAATGGATATGGAGGCAGAATCAGTGACGTTAATTTACTTGAACACTGTAAATTTCTCGATAGTTTGGAACCAAGATCTTTCATTTTAGCAGACAGAGGTTTCAAACACATAGAAATATATTTAAAACAAAGAGGTTTTACTTTACTAAGGCCTCCGAGTGTTGCTGTTGGGTCAAAATTGACCAAAAGTGAAAGTAAACAAACAAAAGAAATTGCTAGCCTCCGAATTCATGTGGAAAGAGTGATTAGAAGAATTCGCGAGTTTTCAATTCTGAAGCCACACTCGGTAGTTAATTTAAATTTATTACATATACTAGATTTCTGTGTAATCACAGCCTGTGCTCTCATAAATTTACAAGACTCACTTATCAAATAAAATATCATGATTCAAAATTATTTTATTCAGTTTAGGCTACATATAGCTCTTGTGAACCTCATTATGCCATCGGTTCGTAAGTCTACTCTGGGCAGGAGATCTTGTACTGAGAAGAACCGGCAAGAAACTCAGCAAGTGTCCAGCTCTTTTCTCCCTTACAGGGTCAAAAATATTGGAAAATGTCCTATTTTGTATGTGTAAATAATACCAAATAAAGATTATTTCTATTTCTATTTACTATCATAAAAGAACACTTTCCGTTACAAAATAAACACACAAAAAATAAAAAAAGGATAATCACAACATACTAATAAAACTAAGTTTGTAAAAATTACATTACATACTAAATTCAATACTAGCAATGTCATACACATAAAGCAATAAAAAAATATAAATAAATTTAGATGCAACTGTAAGAATACCAATTTCCTTGAACCTAGTCTATAGATGGTACTTGTTGCTTGTTTCTGTAATATAAATATAGTTTCAACATCAGCTGCTGTACCCCACAGTAAGATGCCATACGACATGAATACAAGAATACAAAATCATTTATCCAGTTTAGGCTACAGTAGCTCTTATGAATGTCACTATGCCATCGGTTCGTAAGTCTACTCTGGGCAGGAGATCTTGTACTTAGAAGAACCGGCAAGAAACTCAGCAAGTGTCAAGCTCTTTTATCCCTTACAGCATCAAAAATATTGGAAAATGCCCTATCATAACAAGACACTTTCCATTACAAAAAAAACATAGAATATAAAGACAACCACTCAAAATGTAAAGAAAAACACAAGTAAAAAAAAAGTGTTAACATATTTACATCAGGTTAAAAAATATTTTTTTACAATGTCATACAGTAATTCCACTACAGTACTCTAGAATAACTTAAAGAAAGACAAAGTGAAAAGTGAAACTATAGTAAATAATACTAAAAATAAGGTGAGTATGCATGAGCCGACAAGCCTCCACAGGCGGCACCAGTTCACGAGTATGACACATGAATCAGCCATTGCTTCGCTCAACCATATTTTAGGGAACGTAACTATGATATCATTGAATGCATTTTATTTACATATTTTACATAGTAACACTTTCATACAACTTAGGGAAAATATTTAGTTTCCAAAATGAAACTACCTGTCCAATCAGTTCTTTAACATATTTATCATTATAGGAAACAGGTAATATTGTAACATTTTTAGTATGTTCAAAATCACTGCTGGCGACACAAAAATAACTTTGATTCACTTTTGCACAAAACATTTGAATTTGTACTTGAGCAAAACATTTTTTAGTTAATTTACCATCTTTAATGTAATTTTCAACATTTTTTGCTGTAGACGGGCATTTAATTTCAATGAGTCCTTTTTGACTATTAATGCCATCTGGTGATCCAGCAATCATCGGATACTCATTAGAAATAAAGAGGCCACATTTTGTAAACTTAACACCTAATTTTTGTTCTGCAATCTCTCTTACTTTGTCTTCTAACCTCTGGCCACGTTTTATTGCTGGTGTCTGCACAGACCTGGCTCCAAAAATCACTGCAACCAGAGAACCATCTACTGTCTTGCACCTGCTTACTTCATAACACTTAGATGCTGTTATTCTCCCATAACGTAGCTCAAACCAAAGACCACTTTTGTATTGGTGTCTAGATTGCATTTCTGCATTTCTTAAGTTTTCATCATTGAAATTTTTTTTAATTTTTGTTAAAAAACTTTCACAGTTAGGTTCTTTAAATGTATATAATAGGTAATGCAATGATAAAACTGATTTGTTGTCGGTAAAATCTTCAGT